GTCCATGTGCATATTTTTGCATATTTATAGATATGATGTATCGTTATTGCCAACTTCACTATAGTTTGTCTCACCTTGACTTTACAGTACAGGCTTGTATGGTCAACAACAATGCCAAAACATGTCATCACTCACCAGAATATGATTTGAAGAAAATCGGCGTACTTATTTGTAAACTCTCAAATCAAACAAATATTTTGCACGAGGAGTAAACCGCTGGTTCGAAACGTACATAGGTACCATTACTCGTACTCATATTACCACAAATTATTGCCAACTATTATCTATACTCCATATTATTCGTATAATACTACCTACTACAACTCAGTATTACTCGAGTAATGCACACTGTTACTCAGGTATTACTCGAGCAGTACACGATATTTCTCTGTATTGCTCGTGAATTTGAGTCTGTTAAATTAGAAAAACGTTGCGTATTTTACGGCTTAGTAAAATGATGTTTTAAAAGTGCGGAAATTTCGATCAGTTCCAAAGATATTCGAAAAAAACCAAAATTAACCATATTCGATCTTATTAAAAGATATCAAAAAACAAATAACACTGCTTCATAGGCACTTTTTAAGCTGGTGCCTTCAGGTTTTCACTGCGACCGACTATTCTTGTAACAAAACATTAAAATTGAAATTAAGATAATACTCAAACGGCAGCGATACCGTATATAAACACCGAAATTCACAAACGTTTGAGTATGAATTTTTATCGAGCTCCTAGCGAGTTTATAATTTTGCGATGTCTGTCCGCCCGGTTGTCTGCCCGTTAACACGAATGGACCGACTACGATGAACTTTTGCAGGCGGATTCTTTATCAAATTTGTAGATCGGAGTTCGTGAGTAGACAATGAAGGCCAAAAAATGAGGAAGCGGGAACGCCCTTTTGACACATCCGTTAGTTATGAACCGAATTGCATGAAATTCAAAATGAGCATAGCTTTAGCCATATAATATAAACGTAATGTCGACATATAGACATACTCAAGAGTTCGTTTGTTTAATTTATTACAAATTGAGTCGTTTTACTTAATCTATTTTTTTATTTTACTTTGCTCAGGTCTAGTAAGCTTAAAGTACCACTGTCGATAAGATCGATTGGTGCATACAAGATACATTTATTTTCTAACATAAGAACATTTCTAAAGTTTAGCACATAGAGCACATCAGTAAGTACAATAATCCTTAAGCGCTTAGCCTTTCTTAACTGAAACAGAAATAGAGGGACGCACATAATAAGTATTAGGCAATGTCAGTCGTGTTCGACATTCATAAAAACAAGTAAAAAGGTTTTCCCCCTTATCGCATTTTCTATGCATTAATCAGTACCTCTCCAAAGACCTTAGCTATATTCGATATGTTTCCTCACTAATACCATAACTATAAGGTACAGAGTTAAAACAGAACGAACTAAGTATTTTGAAAGCTGTAGGGGTAGTTGCGGTCTTCCAACACGAGTGAGAAAATGCGCTTCTCCTGCATTTTTCTGCTTAAACCAAATCAAACTATTACTCGGTATTAGATAGTCTACTAGTACTCGGAATTACTCAACTGGTAGATACTCGGCATTACTGTAGTATTACTCGGTATTACATTACCTGACTTTTGCGTGCTATTACGCCAACGATTACTCGTTTAACTCAAACCGTGTACACCAAATAACCCAGCGGCTTGCCCCTCGATTTTGCATTTTTCTAAGAGGTTTCATTAATTTTATGTTAACTTTGATGTAAAAACGGACAATGGGAAGCCTCCCGTACCATTCTCGAAATCCATAATGTTTCAGGAAGTCCACCTCAACTGTAAAGTGAAGTTGAGTAGGTATACAATCATCTATTTATTATGGTGAAATTATGCTTCACCAATTACTCGCACATTAAAGATTTAAAAAAGCGTCGAGTTTCTGTACAAAGAAAACTCTTACGCATGGAGGAGGATTGGAGTAATAAAAAAAAAAGGTTTTACATCACAAACACTCTTCTTATAGGCATGTAGAAGCTTTTTAAAAGAAAAAGAGAAAAGGCTGGAGATAAGTATTACATGATTTGGCCAAAGTAGTTACCTGATATCATTGTTTATTAAATTTTTGAATAATTGGAATTGTTCCCATATCTTTTGCATATTTGGTATTTTATACCTACATACCTATCTATAAGAGAAAAGGCCCGAGAAAAGGAAGAACTACCTACTAGTTGTTGGTTACGCTTTATTTGTTATTTCTGAAAAATGAAGCTTGTAGCTCGGCTTATACTTCTAAATTGGATTTACGGGTCCACGTGCATGTTTTTTTTGCATATTTATTGCTAACTTCACTGGAAATATGCAAAAACTATTCCTGGCCGATTATTTCTAACTTCACATGAGCGAATTTGGGGCAATTTGTGCCAATGTAAATTAAGTGAAATTGCGTGAGTATTTTGGGTAAGTATGAAAATCGTGGGAAACGTTGAGGAAGAGAAGATTCTGAATAACTTCAAGAAAATTCTGAAAGAATTGGATATTTCAACATTTAAATATTTTGAATTTGTCAATGTTTTAAGGAATGTTATTATTAATTTCTTTAATTTTTTAAGTAAAAAAATTGAAAAAATTCTCGAAATTCATGTTTTTCAGGAAATTAATTGAAAATGTGGGAAGGAGAAAGGAAACCACAAATGAAAAACCGAGGAAAAAACGGAATAGAAGAGTCACCATTCAGGGGAACATGGTTCAGCGACTTTAAGGTTTCAAGAGAAATTATAGTGTTCCTGTCTACCTCAGGTGACCACAATACTCATTACGAGTGGAGGTATTTAAAAATCGTCAACTTAACAGTAACATGAACCGAAATTCGCAAAGAGTACCAATTATTAAAATATGCCTTCTTGCCATTAGATTATATGGACGAATTTCCATTCGTAAACCCCACTAAAGATCCCCAAACAACATGAAATATTATAGCAGGCTAAAAACACATTCATAAACGAATGCAAAAAAGTTGCTTTGGACCGATGTGTCCGAATTTAATTTTTGGCTCCACACGTCGAGTTTCTGTACAAACAAATTGAAAAAATCTGTTAAGGATGAAGAAGAAATCAAAATTATTTACAATTTATTTAGACTCTTCAAAAGTAATGCTTCGGAAGACGTAACAAGACTTGGAAAAAAAATAAACCAGATACCAAACAAGTTGATAATCTCAAGAATGCTCAGATTAAGTATGTGTGTTACCAAAGGACGATTTTTGATTAACCCGAGGATTAACACAAAATTCGAGTTAAATTTGACCATTTGTTGTACCATTAAATGTTTAATATTCTATTTTTTTAAATTTGTATCAACAATTAAACATGGTTAGTTGAAAATTGTACAGCAAAAGCTGTTTTATAATTAATCATAAATTAATAATATAAAGGGAGGCACACCAATTAATCAGGAAAATAGAGATAGAAAGTTCTATTGGCCCGTAGGAAGGTTTCAACCAGTTAACATTTCTTGGCATGCTTGCCATGCTTTTTTTTGTCATCCACTGCGAATTTAACTGAGAAAGTTAAATGATTGGTACTTTTATTTTCCCAAAGGTTTTATGACTTTGAAACCGTCATATTTTTGAGTGTAATAGAAAATAGAGCACATCAGCGATACAATACCACTTGTTCCCCAAAGTAAGGAATGATGATTCAAAGATTGGTCCGTGAGTGGTCAAAATATTAACAATTGCTCATCAACCCTAATTTCTTGAACCAAATTACGTAAGTACTTCAAGGCCCAATATTGAGCCTAGGCGTTGTTTGGAATTGCCAATGTAACCATTTTCTCACGTTTTGTTAGAATTTGCGTTTCAGTTTATAAATAACCAGCGGATTTACACTACCAACGGTTTATTGCAACGGAAAATATGAGATGCGAGTGAACCAAAACATAATGCGGCCAAAACTAAAATTACTCCCAACATTACCAAATCAAGGACCAATTTCACAACGCGTGCTTTGTCACATCAACACATTCAATTTCGGTCACCTATACGCGCCATAATTTGCCAACAAATTCATTTGTTAACAATGCGTGTAAAATGTCACCGTTATTTTTAGTGTCGATCACCTTTTGCCGCACAAGCGTCTAATTGGTAAAAAAAGCCGAATATAAATCCTAAACGAGAAACTTGCACCTGCTTGTTTATTTTAGTAAACATAATTAGTAAGTGTTAAATGGCTCTTCTATTGGCGATAAACGAGTTGGCGATGGCGCGTATAATTTTCTAATGCCCGTTGAGTATTTATTGATTTTTAACAAAACGCACCGGAAACTATTGGATTACAATACCCTTGTGCGATTTCTTTACGTACTGCGAGTGTCATTTGTAATAACTCTACCTCTTTTTTTTAAATTTCCCAAAAAATTGTTGCTTCGATAACATCAAGTCAAAAAAGTCGCATTTTATATACAATGGCGCTAAATTTACGTGTAGCAAAAATCAAAGAGGAGAACAAAATTACATTGAAATGAACGAGGCTAAGGAATGGAATCAAAGGGGTTGAGAATAGAAAACGCGTGACTTGTCTTAAATTGTTGAATGCTCATTTGGAACAAAGAAACAAACTTGATTACCTAAGTTTTAAAATGGCGTTTTGGAGGAATTTTCCCGCATCTTACAAGAGAAATGGATTTCATTACAAATTTGAGTAAGTAGAGAAAGGAAGCGCGTTTCTAATATGAGCAATCGCTCACATTGCACCAAACCAATGTAAAACCTACATATAATATTCAGGATGCCAGTGACATAAAGCGGGTATTTCTTTTTCGTGAGTGACACTTTCTAGGTATGAACCCTTGTTAGGAACTTAATAGTTTTAGGTGCTTCAACCTACAAGTGACTCAAAACTTCGCGAATGTAAGGGTTAGTAGGTAAACCGGAAATGAAATTGTAAAGTTTTGTGAGGTATTTTGAGAATGTAACATAAGGGGATGCGTGTTAAGCCATTTCGGAGCGCGCAGGGTCATGTTGATAATACCTGGGTATTCGGCGATACTCGGAAGCCAAACTGGGACATGGTGTGTCCCAGTCACTGCTGCACTCACTGAGTCGTCGCCAAAGGAAGCATGTTTGGCTTCCAGCACGCACTGTACAAAACACTACACTCGCCGCCGCATGTCCACCACGTGACCGATCACGAATATCATGTAAAAATTCGGTAGCGTAATCTAATACAAGCCGCACCAGGTGATAATTGCGGTTGACCCAAGTGCTTCTTTCTGCCAACTCTGATTTTTGCAGGATCGGCCCAGTGGGTGGAGCGGAGTGGGGTAGTGGAAGGGGGGGATACTTTCCGCGGTCAGAGCGTCTCTAACAAACCCTGTTTTTGCCACCGACAGAACGCGACTACTGATGTCACGGAATTCTTTTAACGGCGACAAATTGTCGCGATCACACAACACAAGCGCAGTAGTCGCGGCGATCCGTAAAAAATCATCGCGCGAGTGGCGGGGCAGCTTTTCTCCGGGGACCTTTCTGCTCTTTCTGAGATACATTTTTGTGGCCTCCCCTCGGCGGACCGATTGATCCACCACCACTAAAAATTGCGCCCTACTTCTTTTTCTGATCCCCTCCCGGAGCGCATTTTTCCCCTCTTTGGGGCGAGCCGGCGGCGGATTGAAGAGCGCCTAGACGGAACCGCCTCGTACCGCCTTTTCATCTCGTCCAATCCGTGGCTCGTGATGGATCGACCGCGTGCAGACATCATCCCCGTGTGCAACCGCTGTTCGCACCTCTATACATGCAACGGTTTCTCCTGTAACACGTCGGTTACATTCTGGCGTGTATTTCACTTTTCTTAACTTCTCTCTGCCTTCCCCTTTACGCTCGTTCCGTTTAAATTCAAACTTACAAGATCCCCAATCGCTAAACTTTGTGTCTACATACATATTTCACTCTAACCGACCTCTCTCGCTACCGCCGACGACTACGACTACTAACTAGATCCGTTATTTTTTTTACAAATTCCCTTCGCTACTTACTACATGTTAGACTTATCCGTTTACAGCGTTAAATTTATTTCTAACTAATTGCAAACAGTAGCTATTAGATAATATAAATTATGCAAACTTTCATCCGAAGTAGGTAGGTACTATTTACATAAATTACATTTACTGACAATCCCGATTACTGTAACCACTGATTTTTAATTGCGGAAGAATTTGAATACACCGCCGCTCGACTTTCGTTCACTGCATTACATTTTGGCACATGGCATACATAACAAATCGATACCTACTTCTACTTACCTTTTTTTACGTTGCCACTACCTACGCTCCTTTTCATTCTATCAAGCCACGCGTAAAATTTGAATCTCTCTTCACTTTCACATTTGAAATTTATTGCAACTGCACACAGCAAATGTCTACTTAGATTAAAACATAGATAAGGAAATATATTCAACAAATATCTGATGTGCTGGGTAGTGAGTGTCAAAAATAATTACTAAAGTAATAATTTTTCAAATAGTGGTGTCAGAATATGAAGCGCCGTTTGTGGCATAATTATTATTTTTATATATTTTATATAATTTATATATTTTATATAATTTATATATTTTATATAATTTATATATTTTGTATAATTTATATATTTTATATAAGTCTGAATTTATTTAAAAATGGTCATTTATATATATTCAAACGTATTTTAAATATATACGAAAATATTTTTACATATATTCGAAATTAAGCTGAAATATATATATTCAAGTTCGTATTCAATTTATATATATTCAAAGAACAGAAATAAATATATTCAAGAAAAGAGGACGGTTAAAATCGAACTTGCGCGAAAATGCACGATCTGTTCGTGTTACGTTCCCGAGAATCGTGAGTCGCGACTGAATGTAGTATGAATATCTTCGTAAAAGTTTCATTCGCATGCGCAGTGCATGGATCGTTCTGGATGATTTTGACAATTTGAGACGTGCTGAAGCTGAATTCCATTTACCGGTTAACCAGAGCACAGAATTCTAAAAAGGGGTGAGATATAAAGCATTTTACCATTTAATAATGACTCCAGAGACGTGTAAAGGTCCCAACGGCTTCGTATAAAGACACTAGCAATTGCTGCAATTGCTCACTATATGAATTTGTCAATAAAACTAGTAGCACACGGCAATGCTCCTCTAAATCGTTACTGGATTGCGTTAAAAGACATAGATTGTTCGTGTATCGCCTACGGTAGGCTTTATCAAAATCCTCAAGTAAATTTGGGAAGAATTCTGACATATCATCTATGATTACTATTTCACTCAACGTAAAAAATTAATGAAGAAACATTCTTTTCCAAGAGCGTTAGCTTTTCTTTTGTAACGTCCAAGGCAAAACACCGCAGGTGCGAACATATCGTGTTTTGTCGTATAGATTCGGTTTTAACAGTTCTTCCAAAGATTGAATATATTTAAATCTGGCAGTCCGAATGTTCGAATATATATATATAAATTGAATAAGATTTTGAATATATATATTTCACATTTAGAATATATATTAAAATATTTCCGTATGTATCTAATATACGTTTGAATATGACCTTTTTTTTTCGATAAATATACCTACTTTCCCTATATTTTTTCGAATATATATAAATGATTTTTAAAATAAATTCAGACCTAGTAATTATGCCACAAACGGCGCTTCATATCAGAACGTCCTTTCCTGTTGAATAAGAAATTAATAAAAACAACTTATTTGGACAAATTTGTGGGGTTGTAGTGAAAAGTGATCTATAAGGTATCTATCTTGTACATTTAATTGTAACAGTAACATGTTTTTGATTACCTACTCCTTCTGGAGGCGTTGGTTTTGGCAAAATAAAAAATTTAAAAACTTAACAAAACACTTTTCGTTAAACACAGAATCTGAACTAAAAAGCCAAAAATAAAATTTTCCTTGAAAAAATATTGGGATTTATTTTAATATTCATGTTTTTCAATCTTTTCTTTTTCAACAAACATTTTATTGTTGGCTATTTTTAGCTTCCTATCTAGAGCTAGGTGGCTATTGCATCACCGTTTTTGGAAAATGTTAAAGTTTCATTAAATGTCGACGTTTTATATCATTTAAAACAACTTTTAAACAATAACATTTTTTCCGTCATTTAGTAGGTACGTGTAAGTACGCGCGTGCGTACGCGTGCAAACGTTGGCAATTGTCCGAGACAACGGCTCGACGGATTTTGTTCAAATGTTGGATATGTACATTAGGCAGACTGAAATGAAAAATAACGAGCCGGATTTTTGAAAAAAAAATTTTGGAGCGCCGCAACGGCATCGAACATTACTATAATAATTCATTTATTATCTAAAGTCAGTAATCACAAAGTTCCTTATTCAATAGTATACTATTTGAAAAAAAAGTTCGATGCCGTTGGGGCGCACCAAAAATTTTTTTCAAAAATCCGGTTCATTATTTCTCGTTTCAGTATGCCTAATATACATATCCAAAATTTAAACCAAATCCGTCGAGCCGTTACCTCGGAAAATTGTTAACGTCTACGCACATATACAGGTTAGTATTTTTAAGTGTACCATTAGAAGTATTTCAGGAAAGGTTTGGAATTTCGAATCGAGAGCCATTACCTTTTTTGAATAATCGACCAAAAATATTTTCAAGCTGGCCGCTGTTCCAGTTGTAGGTATCAGAACGGTAGGTACCGGAACTTTATTATTTCAAATGGCACTATCTTTTCTGATGGCATTTTAGAATTCCTCATAAAAAATCAGTATGACGTTGTTAATATGATGCTATATCTAACTGACATGGTTTCGAAGTTATTGGACATTTTTCACAGTTTCAGAGGTTCAGTAAATTAGCCATATCACTGTTGTCTGACAAGTGACAATTTACCAAAATGTTTTTTTCACAAATGGACAGCTAAAAGTAAAATGTTTTTCTGTCTGTATACAGGGTGGTGTTTTTAAGGAGACCATTCTCATATCTCAGGAACGGTTTGGAACCAAGAACGATACCGGAACATTCTTATTTCGAATGGCACTATCTTTTCTGATGGTATTTTTAAATTGCTCATACAAAATCGGTATGATTTTGTTAATATGATGCTATGTCCTTTTTTTTCGAAGTTATTGGACATTTTTCACAGTTTCAGAGGTTCAGTCAATTAGCCATTACCCATTTTTATTTTACGATTCTGATCGTGATCGGTCAGAGGATGCCACTTAATAACCAGAGGGTGCCAGGCACCCTGTGGCACCTCTCTGGCTACGGCCCTGAGTACATATGACATTTTTTTTTGGTCATCGACTAGGTCTAAATAATGCCCAGTATTCTCCCTCGATTTTTCGTTTCGCACCCTCTTCCTGACGCGTTTGTTTAGAAGTACAACCGAGCCAACGGGAACCGTACGGATACAACACGCGGATACTACGGTCACTGTTAACCGTTACGCACGGGTATGATACGGTGTTGATATGGTCTAGTGGGCATAGTAGTCCGTATCGTATATTTTCCGTGCCTGACCGAGGCCTACGATACTTACAGGCCGGAGCGCTCGAAAAAGTCACGTGACGTTAGGAGTCATATGAAATACATTACGGCTTATGGAAAATCCGTGCGCGGCTCCACTATTTATTTTTTTACTCCGGATCCGTTCAACATAGAGCCACGAAATTTCAATGAGAGCTTGTCAATAGTACACACAATCAAATTATGGTGTTCGTTAATTTTTAATAACACTAAAAATAATTAATTTTTAGGTTTGAAGTATTGAAGATAAAACGATGTTAGTAAATCCGCGTTTTTCTATCTTTACATCATCATATTTCTTTTTCTATGAACTATATCATTATAATCCTTTCGGTGTCTTAAACTAGAATGATATGCGCCTCCAATTATGCGTATATGATGCCTAATCTGATATTAGTATAGTTTTAACAGGCCCTACAAAATCGCGCATTTATTATCCGCGCAGAGAAAAATTCAACATGCGAGAAACTTTTTTGTTATTACTATAATTGTATCACATATATCGAATGAATTGTGGCCAAAGGACACAAAAATGTTCTTCAGAAGGAATTTTTAAGAAATGGTTTCTTGTTTCCTTTTTTTCAGCAGCTGAAGTAAATAGCGCGATTTCAAGAATAAGTGAACGCGCAAAGGAATTATTATGTTTCAAATAATTGTTAGTAATCCATTTTCAAATTGTGTTTGTGAGATTCAAGAGGAGTATTTTGCATCAAAGATTTTGTTTCGTCGTGTAATTTAGCAGAAGATGAGGCGATGTTAAATATAAGTATTGAAATATTCTAAGATTTAGAAAACGACACAACAGTTACTTCTGAAAACGAAAAAAAAACTGCACTGCCTATTCCTTACAAGCTGTACTTTTTACTAAAACTGCTGTAAGTTGGATAGAAAATGCTATTTTTTAAAACTTCCTTATTCAAAAGGTTATTTTTATTTATTCATAGAATGAAGATGAAAGCCTACGATACTTACCAGGCCTCTTAGG